ATTCCATCGCCAGTAAGTTTCCATTCTCTAATTTTTTCGCCCAACCAAAACCCTCTAACGTGTTTTTTCGCAGTGATAAATACAAAATCAGCCGAAACTGATTAAAATCGGTCGAAAACGGTTAGGCCGAGGCAAATCGCCACCGTGGGAAGTGGTACCGCCACCGGAGCACAGCTGTGCCTTCGTGCCGGAATCTTGAAATTAGCCGAAAAAGATTTTTTATACCGATTTTGAATTCCTATGGTATTTTTAGGTACGTGACAAGTGTTTTGGATTCCGTAGGGATAATGCAGAAAACCTAAGGACCACCAGTAGCCGCAGTAGAAAGTTTAGTATTTTAGATACCGATTCAAGTAAGGATCTCTCACCTTCTTTCTGTTACGGCAAATTAAAGTTTAATAATTAATAATTGTGCGTTTTTATGAAAATTTATAGAACCTTAAAAATAATTACAGGTCACTAGTGGAGTCGGAACTGGTTAGTTCATAATCGTTTCGATTTTGATTTTCTATTTATTTTTTTGTATTACTTATATTTGTTTACTATTATATTGTGCGTAACTCAATTGATGGTCTTTAGGGTCTTTTTGGTTATTTTGTTATTTTTTTTTTCCTGCATTTCATATCAATATTCTCGTCATTGGTTATTTGGTTATGTTAAACTATATTGTTGTCTAAATGAACTGTGAGTATAAAATGAGATATAGTTGATTGTTATACTGATGAAAATCTCTATGGGAAAGACTTATTAGCTACCCAGAAAAAGGTGGACGAGTCCAATACATAGGGAACCCTACTGTGAACGTTACCTCAGTAGGACGGGGTTAAGAAGTCCCTTACCAGTAAGGTTTGGGAGATATAATTCACATTTATACCGGACGGGGTATCAAGGTGGTGGAATATTTGGCGCCCATTACCGGACGAGGTATGGAGACGATCGGTTGATTGTTTAATTGGATATTGGGTTCACGAGTAGGAGGACATCCTTGTGGACCCTTAGGGGTACCGGTAAGCAGGTAAAAAATTAAAATGATCGTTCTTGTTATATTCTATGTGATAAATAATAATGCATGAATATAAGTTTTTACAAGTTATTATTGGGAAAGACTTGTTACACAAAAAAGAATAAATAACTTTCTTTATAGTAAATGAATTTACATTAAATTAAGGGTTCCGTTGATTGTTTTTCTTATTTTTACTAATTTTCAGTTTTTCGTATCTGTTATTAGTGTGATATTCTTACTGGGTTAGTGTAGTTTACTCCTTTACTAAATATTTCAGATCAAGAGAATCAAAATTCAGATCACAATCAACAAGAAAGTTGTGAATAGTTCATCATCCAAACTCCCTTCAAGAGCTAGTGAATGTCGTCTTAGAATTGCTTAATTATTTGTCTTTTCTTTATTTTTATAATTTTCGTTTGCTCGTTCAAAAATGATATTTTCGTATCTTCATTAAATATTCTAAATTATTGTGTGAGAAATATAAACTCTAACTCTATTATTTCACTTTCGCATTTAATTTATGACTTTATTTACACTTAATGTTAATATTATTACAATTTACTTAAGTTCTTAATTGAATTAAGCCTATATTTATAAATATGTTTGACGATATTTTTTTGTTTTTACCTACAAAAGTGAGACCATAATTTCGTTTAAATCTATTTAGGCAATTTTTCCCCCCCAAAAAGAAAAAAGGTTTGAATCTTTCAAATTATTCATAAATTATTACAAATTATTTTTAATAAAAAATACATGTATTTTTATAAAATAAAATATATGGAAGTAAACCCGACTCAAATTTATTACTTTTTACCAAATACTAAATTAAATAATGATTGATTAACAAAGTTTTTAATCATCAGAATGTGTTCATTACTATATATATATATACATATACATACATATATATATTATCATGAGTTATATGGAGATTAAGTGGTTACATAATTTAATTCTACCGACTACATGATAAAAATAATAATTGAAGTGTCAATCAACACTAGTTACTAAAGGCATTTGCAATTATGTTATTCTCTTTAAACATCATTTAGCCTTCAAATCTTTGACTCCCTAATCAGCAAGCTTGTTTTTTTCTTTCTTTTTTTTAATGGTCAACCCAATTAATCATATATATATATATATATATATATTATTTAAACAAAACAATCTACTAATGCTAATTATATTTTAATAAAATTTAAAATATTATTAAATATAAAATAATTTTGATAATATATGTCATAATTATCTATCAAAAAATTTTAATTATAAAAATAGTGTTTAAAAATGATTAGCACTAAATAGTATCTTAATTTCTGAGTTAATTACATGTCTAATTTAATTTAAGTACTTTTTTTTTAATAAATAAAAATATAAATTTATTGCTAAAAAGCTAAAATTATAAGTTTAGTTTAATTATTAAGTAGTATATTTCGTAGATATTTAGAAATAATTTTTTAATGGAATAATATAAAATGTTATAGACTTATATTGAGTAGTGTTATTTACCGTACTAAAGATGAATAAGCATTACCTGCAAATGTAATATATTAAAAAATGCTAAGATAACTATTATATATATTTTTTTATTTATCCATTTGATAATAATATTATAATTGTTATATATTTCTATATTTATTATTGTAACTATTATTTTTTTTATTATAATAATTGTTAGTTATATTATCACCGTCAGTTTTATTGATGTTATTATCTTCAATCATGACCACAATCAATATTATTATTACTATCATTATCACTGTCATTATCATCACCTCACTGTCATTATCGATTCATCATCATCACTATATATTTATCATTACATCTATAACTATTATTACCTATTTATATTATTATTGATCACTAGTAGTACAAACATTATCGTCAATATTATCTTTCGCTATCATCTTTATTATCATTAACATAGACATTAGTCTATGAATGGAATATAAATAGTTATAGTTGTTTAAAAGGGTATATATATAAAATATAATATCATAATTTTTACCCCTTCATTAGTGAATGATGAAAGGAAAGAATATTTGGAGTGGAGGGATGCCTTATGTTGTTCAAGTACAATGTTGAACTCCTTTCCCCACTTGCTCACTTTGGCCTTCGTGTAAAGCACTCCACTTTCCACCATCTCATACATATATATATAGACACATACACATATATGGATATGGATGTATATATGTATTCTTACGCACACATGCACTAATCGAGACCATTGCCTAATTATAGTTTATAAAGCCAAACTTAGTTTTTGTGCAACGCCCACTATGAATGGAGCTAAACAAGGAAAGAAGACAGCTTTAAACAGGAAAAATACAAAAGAAATTATGGAAAGATGCTCAAGCCTTGCATCATTGGCATGACTATGTATATTCATTCACACCAAAATTCAATTTTGATTTAACGAGTAATAATGGTGATGGTGATCTAAAAAAGTATTTTCACAAAAAAAAAATACATATTTTTTACCATGTCAAATTTACTAAACTTTTATATCATATTGTATGTATGTTACTCACTTATTATTATATGTATTTACCCATAAAGACTTTCTCAGTATAAGTAAGTACATGATATTATCACACTATATATATATATATATATATATGTATATGTATTATAAAAAAAAAATTAAGTTTAAAGATAAAAGAGAGTCCATAATAACATTATTTATGCATAGGAAGCCAAAGAATTTTAGCATGAGAACGACATTATTATACAACAACAAATATATATATATATATATATATGTATGTATATATATTAGGGCAGGGGAATAATAAGATGTGACATATTGAAGTAAACAAAATTACAGTATTTGAATATCGGTGTGTGGACCATATCATTGCATCAGATTCCTTTGCTACACTTTACAATGTGGAAAATATTTTCAGTGACTTGAATTTTTTTCTTTTTCACCTGAATAGTGAGTGACTTGGAATTCTCTAACCTACAAAATTTCATCCCATTATCACATAAAAATGTACTAAATATTAAACCATACTAATTATATATCATTGCAAATTACAAATTATTATATATTAAACCATACTAATTACCATGTAATCCTCTATTCCTCCAAAAATAAAGAAAATCAACCATAATATAAGCATTGCAAGTATTTGCTTCCGTGATAATTCCTCGCTACCATTCCATTTTTGTTGAATAAGAACGAAATGAAACTGAGTCACTCACTATGCTATATTTGCTACAATAGGCTAAAATTTCTGTCGATTAAGTAGTTAATATGAACTATTCAGGAAGTATTTCACTTTTTAGATTGAACTCCTCTAAATAAAGAATTCAAGAGTCACACCTAATACTAGTTTTTCTTCCATCACCAATAAGCTTGCAAGTACCTGAATCTAGTAAATTTTTTTTTCTCAAGATTACTCTCTGAAGAAAGAATCTGAGTGTTTAAGAAGAAATTTTTGAAGCAAAAAAGCCTCTTCTAAGTATTTTGATTTGATTAATTGGACACAAGGCCTTAGGTTTGTCTGTTTGGATCTACCAACTTAGTTTAGTCATTAAAGACAAATTAAATTCTTTTAGCTTTCTGAATTTCAGTACCTCAAAGTTGACTAAACAAGTATGACTTATAACAACTAACAGGATAGTAGCCATGTGCTTAATTTTCTTTGTTTTCCCCACGAAAATCTCCTTGACATTTGTTCTATCTCCTCAATGAATGAATTAAGAAGAATGAATGTGAACATGTAATATGATGAGAACTGACCTCCCTGCATGATACAAAGAAGCACTTTTCAAGCTGGCTAATTTGGACTTCGTTTTGCCTAACTAATTTAACTTCAATTCGGACCTCATAGGCTTTAGTTATTTCTTTTCTTAACCAGAGGGATCCCAAAATGATTTCAATTTGGAATGAAATATTTGAAAAGCTGATGTTCTTGAGAATGCTTCGTACACAATTTTCCACGTCCTATTTTGGAGCCACCCAACCCTTTTTTGTCTTTTTTTTTTTCCCATTCATGGAATGTATAATTTCATGAGCAGTGATATTGTTCTCCTTTGATGAAGGCAGGTTAATAAGAGGAGATAATCTTATCCATCAGAGGTCTTAATCTTAATGTAAGAATCTTTGAAATAATTTTATTACTTAACAATGCACAATGAAATACTTCACGGTGTTGGCATATTCAACTTTAGGAATGAGAGAAATATTTGTTTGATTGAACTCCTTTAGTATCAGCCCAGAGTAAAAGAATACTTAAAACATAAGTTATAACATCATATTTAATAAACACCCAGAATTCATGGGTAAAATATTGTAGTCATTCCATCTGGTCTTGAGGCCTACTGGGCGGGCAGGCACCAATACTTTTAAGGGCTCCCATGATCTCTTGTTCATCAAGAGATTTAGCTAAGCTAATATTATCCTCCTTTGTAATTTGATTGGGAAATAGCCCCTTCAAGTCCTCCGGGAAGACAAGATTACTAGTAGAGTATGGTTGGTGAAGAAGTCAATAAAGCAATTAGCAATTCATGAGCTTCAGCAATCCATTCTCCGGTTGAGTTCTTGATGCCCTTTATTAAGTTCTTTCATCTTCTTCTGAGGGTTAATAAGTGAAAGTATCTTGTGTTGAGATCACCTTTTTGTATCCACGGATGATTTCCGTGCCAGATACAAGCTCCCTTTTGAGCCGTCTGGCCAAATTTCACACTGATCCATTCCTAATCTTCCACAGACCAGGGACATTTGGTTCTCACCAAGCTTAGATTATAATAAAAAAAAAAATTAGGATTTTGGCTTTTAACCAATGCCCTTAATTTATTAAACACAGAGGCAATAGGCCCTCGTTCATGACCTTTAGATTAATGGGAAACGTAAAAGAAGAATCCACGACTACTTTACCAGGGTGTTTGAGAAGCTTTTAGTCTGGCTAAACTCTTGATTTTAATTTTTCTTCTTCTTGATTTGCTGTTATCAATGGGCCTTCTACTCCATAAACCCCCCTCCACTAGTGACTTTGAATTAAATATATGCCAGTAACATCTACCTAGGATGACATGCAGTGACTTAGAGATTCTGATTGGCAGTAATCTTGTTTTATCATTATTTACCTCCTATTTAAGAACTTTAAGTGAGATTAGATTATGTAAACAATCAATACATGAGTGGTTTATTATTATTAAACATGTTATCTATAAATATATATCTTGTGTGAGTACCTATAACTTGTGATTATGATTGAAGCCAAAAAAAAAAAAAAAGAAAGTAATTAAACTCTAGTTATGTTGTCCTATGTAGTATATGTAATATAAGAACACAGAAAGATATAAACAAAAAAAATTATGATGAAAAGACTTCTTCATTCTTAAAAAAGTCCACCTTAGTTTGTTCCCATTATGCATCTTATCAAATTAAGGATCTTGCTAGTGCTGACAAGATCTCTCCTCAAATAAACTCTTCACCAAAGAATTGTTAGTGGAAACATTCACAAACTAGAAATTCTTGTACCATTCTTAATGCTTCTTAACTTAAACCTACCTGCTTATGGGCTGATTAAATATAGCATCTAGGTTAATTCCCTCTCTTGTCATTTTATCCATCAATCCAATTGCCATCTGAACATGGCATGTTCAACAATAACCTTCTAGAAGGGCATCGCATGCGACATTAGTTGGTATCACATTCTCCTCCAGTCAGAACCCAAATGCTTGTCATACTTGGAAGATTATGGAAACCTTTGGAGTGCCTGCAAACTTGACTCTAAGCTTGTAAGAATTTACACATTTTAATCAATAGGTATTAAAGGATTAAGATAAATGTTTACACAACTTTGGATAATACTAGAATGACACAATATTGACCATAGTTATAATCATTAGTTATATTTAATAGTCCAAGTATAGTAATATAGAATATTCACACTGATACATACAAATGCAACTGTTAGAAGTTTGGAAGTCCTTAGTAACTCAATTTATGATGATTCTCAAGATTCACCTTTAGAAGGCTTTAGGAAATAATGAATCAATTTCCTTAGAAATGATTCAGAATACAATGCTTCACATCCCTCCTAAGTCCTAAGATACTGAACAAACTGATAAAGCAATGCCAAACAGTGTACACAATCCAGTATGTACCCCCACGACCGAGCCAAGTAAAGTTGTGAACTCAGACAAGTTTTCCCAGAGTTTGGCAACAATGTAACTAACAAGAGTTTCTCTACCTTTATTTTTGAGTTCCTCAGTTGAAACCATCCATTAAGTATGTTATAAATCTGAAGTGATGGAACCCAATTTCTGAAGTTATGCATCTTTACAAAAGGAATCCAACAAAAGATTCAAACAAACAAACAAATTTCTTAACCCAATTACCTAAATTGTAAGCATATTCAAATAAGGATCATAAAACCATAGAGTCAAGTGTAAATAAAAGTACAAATCTAATAGAAATGAACCTGTTGGTTTTAAAAAAACAAGAAAGGTTGATGGTAATCCGAGAAAAAAATTTTGGAAAGAAAGATTATTATTTTATCTTCATTTTAAAATACTTATTTATATATAAAAAAAAAAGAATAAACTAATCTCCTACATTTTAGTACCAAATTTCTAAACTGTTACAATTCAAAAATTTAAATATAATAACTAAGATTTTGGAAGATTGTTTTCTGATAATCTTTATTTGAATAAATCTAAAACTAGTTTGAAGTAATTTATCTCTTGCAACTAATATTCAAAATGATTTTATCTGCTGAATTTTGAAAAAATCTTCACTGCTAAAGCTAAAATGTCATATGTTCCACACTCCTCCTTGGCATTTTTGTGACAAATGTCAATTCTTTCTCTGAGAATTTCAAACCTCTCCTTAGGTAAAGCTTTTATAAGTACATCAGCAAGTTGATCTTCAGAAGAACAATGAACAAGAATCACTTCATTAGATTGTTAAACTTCTCGAATAAAGTGGAACTTGATCTTGATATGTTTTGTTCTGCCATGAAATATCGAATTTTTTGAAATTGATACTGCAGAAAGATTATCACATTTGATTTCTGTTGGACCTTTTTGTTGACAACAAAGATCCATTAAGAGTTTCCTTAACCAGATAGCTTGATTCACAGTCGAAACTATAACAATATATTCAGCTTCAGTTGTTGATTGAACTGTTGTTTCTTGCTTCTTTAAGCTCCATATAAAGATACCAGAACCTAAAGAGAAAAGATTCTCTGAAGTGCTTTTGAAATCATCCAAGCAGCCTCCCCAATCGCTATTAGAATATCCCAGGAGCTTCACTTCTTCATTTTCAACATTTCTATACATATTACTAAGGTCTATGGTATCTTTTAAATACTTGAGTATACGTTTTGCTGTTGAATAATGTTTTTCAGATGGAAAATACATATATCTTGATAAAATACTCACAGCAAACATGATATTGGGTCTGGTTGCTGTGAGATATAAAAGACTTCCAATAAGACTTCTATATAAGCCTTTCAATAAGACTTCTATATAAACCTTCATCAACCTTCTTTTCAATCAACATCTTTACCCAATTTCTCACATGTAAATATTAGAACACCCATAGGTTTACAATCTGCCATGTGAAATTTCTTTAAGATCTCTGCTGCATAATTTTTTTGACATATGAAAATGTTATTTCTGGATTGCTCCACTTCCATGCCCAAAAATACTTCATCAGTCCAAGATCCATCATTTCGAAAGCTTCCTTCATCTGAGCATTGAAAAATTGGATGAGTTGAGAATCTTCCCCTATCACAAGCATGTCATCTACATATAGAGAAACAACCAGAATTTTGTCATTTGCTCCTTTGATGTATAATGTTGCTTCACTATCACTTTTTTTGAACCCGAGTTGCATTAAATGATTATCTACTCTGCTATACCAAGCTCTTAGAGCTTATTTAAGGTCATTAAGAGTCTTTTTCAATAAATATACATGATCTTCTTTTTTAAAAATTAAAAAAACATCATGCTGCTCAACATAGATATTTTCATCAAGAAAGCCATTTAAAAACGCAGATTTAACATCGAGTTGATGAAACTGCCAATTTTTGAATGTAGCAAAAACAATAATTAATCTGATAGTGTCGTACCTTACTACTGGAGCAAATATTTTTTGGTAATCAACACCATATTGTTGCGAATATTCCTTGACCACAAGCCTGACCTTGTGTT